TATCAACATGATTTTGTTTTCTCAAATCAGAAGAATTGATCACTGAATTTGAATCTAACCTAAACGAACCTGATTCGATAACTTCTTCTGGGATTTCCTGTTCAGTTCCCATATCAGTGCTTTCAACGGCTGCCTGTGAACTGTCTCTCTGTTCACATGTAATTATAAATAATGAGAGATGCGATTTCCTCAAATGTTTTCGAAAACTTTTTGGAGTGTCGTATGCTGAATTACAATTTTTGGAACAACGAAACGGCATTCTAAGGAGATCGTCGTGAGGGCAATATAGAAGGTGTTCATTGAATGTTGCCACACCAATAAATTCCCTAGAATATTTACACTGAATTCCCATATTGATTCTTTTGTTATAAAAAAAAAATCAGAGACTATATCTAACTATTGCTTTTGGAATTATGCTTTCAAAAGCTGCATGGATCTACGGCAAACTATTACGATTATGATTCTTCTCGTATTAGGACTATTACATCTCATTCTGCGAAGGTGTATTTAATTCTAAATCTGAAATTAATGTGAGCACCGATTGGGGCATAGTGACGTCGAAGTTGGTATTCATCCCGAATACTGCTTTTTGAATGAAGAACCAAGAGCCTCTCGCCTCTGGTGGATACAGTGCATTCAAGGCGGAAGAGATCTTGTACGTGATCTCTAATGCCCTTGCGGGTGATGCGACACAATACATCTCCTCATTTATCAAAGCATATGATGAAATGATTCCTCTCATTGGACCTGCTATCAACATCGTTGGCTGCATTTTGACTTTATTGGAGGCAAGATGTCGTCTGATACGAGCGATCTCAGTTTCAACGTCGTTGGTAGCCTGAGAATGCAGAAAATCACAGAACAACTATATTTACAAAAAAAAATCAGACGACTTGACTAAATAATTCATTGAATTCATCAAATGATACTTGGGCATGAATTTTTTAAGTTCTTTCTTTTTATTCGTTTCCCAAAATAAAATTAGAAAAAAAAACTTAGAAAATTCATGTGCAAGAATTTTTATAGTAAAAATCCCGAAAGAATAAGTCATATAGAAAAATCAACATCTATAGACATGGTAAAAATAATTAATTTATGATCCTTACGTGAACATGGATTGCGAAACCATTTCGCACATCCACGTTAGTTGGATTCCACTTTTTCGATTTTTCTTTTGGTGTAACTGACGAGTCGATTTTCTTACGTGTTTTAGCTGGAAGTTTACGATCATCTTCTTGTTCCGAAACTGGACCCACTTTTGATAACAAAGCAGGAAATATGCTAATTATATAAGGATCGAGAGCATCTGGAACACACAATAAGAAATAATTCCAAACTTGCTTTTCTTCAATATCATGATGAAAAATATTATTTACCTCCACTGAGGATCTTGATCATACTCTTCAGATCTCCTTCGTGTGAATTTTTAGGTAATCTGAGACTCGTAACATAATTCTTGAGACTTTCTCTGATTTGGGCCAATTCTCTGCAAATTTGGTACTCTTGTCAGGATAAAGACTATCAAAATCTTCCAGAAGCTGAAATCCATCAAACAAATTTTAGTCAGTATAAATAGCCCAAAATAAAATTCAGAATGAAATAAAAGAGAATTGAGGAATAAGACGTACTAAATTATAGCCATCCTTCAATTTGAGGCATGGGAATTTCTGGATATACTTCTGAATGGTGTGGTGCTCCAAGTAATGGTGTCTCTCTCGTCTTGTCGTTGTCCATAGATGACGTACCTCATCGAAAGAGTGGAGCACAGTTTCCAATTTTTGTAAGTTCTCAGAAGGCAAACTTTCTGCATAAAAATTAATCATTTCAGGAACGGAAAAGATTTCGAATTGAGATTATCACTCATTATTATTCATTTTCCTGTGAACAAATATGGACGAATAGCTGATATTTGAGGAGTTCGAAAACCTGGGCGTAGTTCAAGATCGTTGAAAGAAACGAAAAATGAATTATTGAGGAAGGGAAAAGACGCGAATTGCGATCAGGATAGAGCATTCGAAGCATTACTTGTGAACTCTTGGATTATAGCGGATTATTTCACTTTCAATTTAAGAGTCATCGACCACACTCATGAAAGCATGAGTTAATGGTGATGATTATTATTATCATCATTATTCTGATTTGTAATTTGATGAAAAATGATGAAGATCATTATGATAATTGATACTTCTTTGTATCGAGTAGATCAGAATGAATAAATGACAAATAAAATAAGATAAAATAAAATAAACATGAAACAAATAAAATGAATGACAATAGTTTACTACATTCTCATGTAGACAGACTTGAAACACACTGAGAGCTCCAATGTGGAATCAATTCATGAAATCAATACAAATTACGTTAAACTCCTCGATTATTTTCGCAATTATATACGAAACAAGTGGGTCTACAAGAAAATGTAAAAAATACTTGTTCGGTGAATGTCTAGGGTTAGGGTGGATGTGGGCTGAAAATGTGGAGGGAGATGTTGGGAAAATTATAGTAGGCGTTTTATAAAAACTCTCAATATATTTTCGTGGGATCGAACTACTTGTCACTTAATTTTACACTCTTTGGTATATTTACTGTTGAATGTCTAATTTTCACTGATAATTATCTTGTCACTTTTATCTCGTTGAGTCACTGAAATTATACTGAACTTAATCAACAAGTTGATGTACTGAATAAAGATATTGATTTTAGAATACTGATTGACTAAATACGCTAGCTCATTATCGTAACGATACGTTAATACTACTGACTACTGACTCTTCCGGGTGCCGCGCTGATCTGTGTCCGTTGACCCGAAAGTTCACGGAGATTTTCGGAGATGGCCGAGTTAGTCGACCGTGACTAATACGGAGATTTAGGCTGTATTTCGAACACCCCGGGGGCAATTCATCATCGGGGATGATGAATTAATGGTGATTCTAGTCCTGTTGAGCTTCTTCTGCATCATCGTCTGGAGGTTGCTCTGGAGGTGGTGGATCTGATGGCAGTAGGCAAAGCTTGGTGATTGGTCTGTCAAGCTCTGTGTAGATTGTTCTGATGTTTTCTATGATTGGTGATCCATCTGCCTGCCTTGGTACCTCTTGTTTTGCGGTTCTTATAGTTGCGACTCTCGTTAGCCCATCTGCTCCTGGGCGTGTCGCAATGACTCGTCCGATTGGCCATTGTGCTGGTGGATAATTTTCGTCGATCATCAGCACCATGTCGCCAACCTTGATGTTCTCTTCTCGATGCGTCCTTATAGATTGCCTGATGTCGTTGAAGACACTCTTTGGCCCACCTGGACCAGAATTGTTGAGTTAGCTGCGTTACCAGGTTCCATCTCTGCAGTTTGCTGGGGTTCTTGTCGATGATTGATGGCTCTGGAATCAGTTGAAGAGGCTCACCTATCAGGAAGTGTCCTGGGGTGAGTGCTTGGAGATCGTCTGGGTCATCTGACATGGGACAGATTGGCCTGGAATTTAGGCAGGCCTCTATCTGGATCACGACACTGTTGAGTTCCTCCAATGTGAGTGTTGTTGTCCCCAAGACTCTTCTAAGGTGATATTTTGTTGATTTCACGGCTGCTTCCCACTTGCCACCAAAATGGGGTGCTCGTGGCGGTGAAAAGCTCCATTGAGTCCCATTGGTGGCGAGAGCAGCCTGAACCTGCTGATTTTCTCTGGATGCTCGGTAATAGATTTTCTCTAGGACCTCTGCTGCGCCCACGAAGGTAGTGGCATTGTCACTGTACATGACAGCTGGAATACCCCGCCTTCCGGTGAATCTCTTGTAGGCTCCGATGAAGGCGTCCGTTGTCTGCCTGGTGACTAGCTCTAGGTGAACTGCTGATGTGGTGAAGCACACAAAAACTGCAATGTGCACTGACCCTGGTTGTGCATTCGTTGGTCTCCATTTGAGGATGGGGAATGGTCCTGTATAGTCCACCCCTGTATGGAGAAATGCTCTTGCTGGTGAAATTCTCGTTGCTGGTAGTTGACCCATGTGTTGCTGGGCCTATCTTTCTCGGTGTCTGGTGCAGATGGCACAGCGTTGAATATATGCTCTAACTGTGCCTCTGCCGCCGATTATCCAGTATCTTTGACGTGTGTAGGCCAAGGTGAGTTGAGTTCCTCCGTGTAGTGTTTTGCCGTGGGCTTCTTCAATGACTAGTGTGGTGAGGCGTGACTGGCGAGGCAAGATTATTGAGTGAATTTCGTCTGGATTTAACTGCGAGTTCTTGAGGCGTCCCCCAAGTCTCATGATCCTTTCGTTGTCTAGTGTGGGTGTCAGCTTGGCTAGTTGATGATTTCTCGGTAGTTGGTGATTTCTCTGGAGTACTCGAATGGCTGGCCCAAAGTATTGATGTTGGGTTATCTTTACCCAAAATAACCTCGCGTCGTTGAGTTCTCTTGTTGTCAAGACAGGTCCCGGGGGCATTGGCTGCCTCCTGAATCTGTCGATAGCNTCAACTGGATGTGCTGGTACTGGTTTTGCTTCTCTGGCCACTTCTGGGATGTCCATGGCTGGGGCGTCGATTGATGATTGTGGCCATTCTTCAGGATCCTGATTGATCCACTCAGGTCCTGACCACCACAGTTGATGATCTTCTAGCTGGCTCGGTGATATGCCTCTGGAGGCACAATCAGCTGGATTCTCCTTTCCACTGACATGACTCCAGGTAGAGTTTCCTGGATCTTAACGACCCTGTTGTGGACGAAGTCCTTCCATCTTGATGCGTGGCTCCTGATCCAAGCTAGTGCTACTGAAGAATCAGACCAGAGATAGGTGTCTACCTGGTCGAGTTGGAGCATTTTCTTCGTTGATGCCACTAGCTGAGTCAGTAGAAGAGCTGCTGTGAGCTCTAGTCGAGGGATGGTCATGCGCTTGAGTGGTGCTACCTTAGTCTTCGCGCATACCAGTACTGTTGATGTCGAGTCGTTGATGGTTTTGGTGCGAATATACACCACTGCACTTATGGCTACCGTTGAAGCGTCTGCCAATCCATGAATTTAGATGTTGAGTGTCTTTGTTGAAATTCTCAGCCATCTAGGTACAGTTACTCTGTCTAGGTCGTTGAGATTCTCTCGGAATGTCTTCCAGCGTTGAACATACTCATCTGGAAGAGGATCATCCCATTTTAGTTTCAATCTCCAAAGATCTTGTAGGAGAATCTTTCCCTGGACGACAACTGGTGCGATAAATCCCAGTGGATCAAAAATCTGGGCTATTTCTGAAGAGACTACTCTCTTGATGATTAACGTCGTATTGAAATTCTTTGATTTGTACCGGAATGTGTCGGTGGATTGATGCCAACACAATCCAAGTACCTTGGTGACTGACTCCTCGAACTGGATAATTTCTTCGTCAGTTGATAGGCCCAACTCATGCAGAGCCTCTGGACAATTGCTGCTCCACTTCTGTAGAGAGAAGCCTCCTGCATGGCAAAGCCCTTGTAGTTGCGTTGCGATCTCCTTGAGACCGTCTTCTGTTTCTGCACCGCCGTAAATGTCGTCAACGTAACGACCTCTGGTGAGTGTCTCTACTGCTGCTGGGAAGCGGTGCCCTTCATCTTCTGCTAGTTGTTGAAGAACACGTAACGACAACCATGGAGAACAATTTAGTCCATAGGTGACTGTCGTTAACTGGTTGGTGACTGGTTGTTGAGTCTCATCGATCCACAGGATTCTCTGAAGATCCCAGTCATCTTGCTGAACTCGTATCTGGCGGAACATCTTGACAATATCCGTGCCAAACACGAGCCTGTGCCTCCTCATCCAAGTCAGGATAACCATTGCATCGTTCTGTAATTTTTCACCAGAATACAGTATATCGTTAATTGACATACCTGATGAACTGGGGCTGGAGCCATTGAATACGACTCTCAGCTTCGTTGTGATGGCCTCCTCTCTCAGTACCCCGTGATGTGGTAGATAGTAAGCTGGCACGGGTTCTGGAGTCTCTGGTGCTATTCTCATGTGCCCCAGTGCTGCGTACTCGTTGATGAACTCTCTGTACAACTGGGAGTATGCTTGATCTGTGTTGAGTCGACTCACGATCGATTTGAGTTGACGTGCTGCTTTGAATTTCGATTCTCCGAGCGCTGCTGCTGAAGTTTTGAAGGGCAGTCTCACGATGTATCGCCCGGTGTTGTCTCTGCTATGAGTTGCTCTAAAGTGCATCTCGCACTCGTACTCATTTGGTGAAAGCTCTGATGTTAATGATCTCTCGTTTGGCAGTTCTTCCTGGACCCAAAATTTCTGGAGAAGCTCTAGAAGTTGTTCATTCGAAGATTCTCGTACAGCTGATAGAGATACCTTTATTGAACAATTTGTGCATTCGATTGGTCCGGATAGTATCCAACCGAACACTATGCGTTGGCCAACTACTCTCGATTGCTCTGACTTGACAACTTCATCCATGATGATCCGCCCATAGTTGTCAGCCCCTAGTATGATGTCGATTGGTCCAGGCCTTAAATAATGGGGATCGGCTAGCTGAAGATCCTCGTTGATGAGCATGACAATGACGGAATTATTGCGGTGAGCTTCTTTAGAATGTGAGCGTTGAGTTGCAGTTGATGAGTCCCACTGTTCGATTGTAGAGTGACTGAAACTATTCCTCTGGTGTATCCTGAATTAATTCCACCAATTNATCCTCGCTGATGAGCATGAAAATGACGGAATTATTGCGGTGAGCTTCTTTATAATCTGGGCGTTGAGTTCCAGTTGATGAGTCCCACTGTTCGATTGTAGAGTGACTGAAACTATTCCTCTGGTGTGTCCTGAATTAATTCCACCAATTCCCACTAGCTCCACTGTTGATGCCCTTCTCTGTAAATGCAGTTGATTAACTAATTGTTCGGAGATAAACGATACCTCTGAACCCTGGTCGATGAGTGCTCTGGCTTTTGTCGTGAATCCTCTCGGTGATATTACTTTTACTCGTGCTGTTGCCAACAGCACTGACTGTTGATCTGCTTCTCCTTGGTGATTTTCGTGGTTGATATTCTCTGCTTTCTCATTGATCATTTTGTTGTTGAAGTTCACTGCTACTGGTGGTGATGTACTGGATTCTAATGTTGAGGAATGATCAATGAGATGGTGAGTGTGCTATTGCGATTGAATTCATTCACTCACTGTTTCCGTGATCCTCTTGCTGCCTGGATGTTCCGGCAGTCTGGACGGGTTAAGCTGGAGTGCGTCGGGCTAGAGGCGGGCTCATCGTCCATGAAATCCTTCCATGGATGAGAGTGTGGTTAAATCTGCTACATTTGTGGCACTTCTTATCCGACATGCACTTGGCCTTCGTGTATGGCCCCAAGCAGTTGAACCACAGCCCCTTGTTGATAACGACGTCGTTTCTCTTCGCTGGGGTGAGCTCAATGAACTTCTGGCAGGATGCGATAAAATGCTTGTCCTGACAGTAGGCACAGCAGTTCCTTGGAAGTTGTCTTTCTGGCTCCTTAATTTCCTGCTGGTGAGTTGCTGCTGTATAGGTGCTCCTTTTCTTTGTTGGAGCTGACTTCTTCGTGGCTGCGTTGATTTCCTTTGATGATAGCAGCTTGGCACCTGCGTTGATCCCTCTGCCGCAGGCCTCGATGAACTCCTTAAGGCTCGGGAAATCCTTTGAGTCTCCCAGCTTTAGTTCCCACTGCTTGAGTGTCTCTGCATCAAGAGGTCTCCTCAGTAAATGGGCTATCAGCTGTTCAACGATGGTTTCCGTCGTTAACCCCGTCACGTCTTGTAGTTGATCGAGGGTCTCCAATGCTGCTGCTCCGTTGGCGCTGAGGTTCTCTTCTGTTGCTTGGGTGATTTTCGGCAGCGTCAGGATTCTGTTGAATAGCGACTGAGCGATGAGTCTAGGGTCCTCGTACTTTCTGGTGAGTTTTTTCCAAACCTTTTCGTAGTTTTCGTCCTTGGCCTGAAAGGTAGAGAGGAGAGCTGCGGCAGGACGTCTCAGGCATCCCTTAAGTCTCACCAGTTTCTATACTGGCGGAATTGACGTGACATTTCCCACCAGTGACAAGAAAAGGTCACTGAACTCCTTCCATTCCTCCGGTTTCTCATCGAATGGCTTGATTTAAAGACGCTTCAGCTGATTTGCCTGGCTTTGATCCGTTGAGCTGCTAATTGAGTCCTTTTTTCTTGCCAGTTGACCCTGCAGCCGAGCAATGAGCATCAGGGCTTGTCGTCTTGTCGTGGTATCTCGTTCATGGATCATTTCGTTGACATACTCGTAATCAGGGGGAAGAAACTCGACTAGATTGGCATAAATCTGAAAATACTCGGTCCATTCTGACTCAATTATCCCCTTGTGCCTGTCTAATTCTTCTAGGGTGAGGTCCTCTTCGGTTTCAGCGTCCTGCGGGAGGACATGATATATCTTCATCAGAGTCTCTACTTTGAACGTTAATAGTCTTAATTGACCCTCCTGTTGCATGGTGAGTGCTATTCTTGAAGCTGCAGGCGTTGATTTTCGTTGAGCGGGCTCCTTTGATCCTGACGCTCCACTTGGGCTGTTGGTTTTCTCAGGAGTGGTGATTGGCTTTATTGTAACTGCCTCATTTTTTGTTGGCAGTTCCTCTTCTTGAGTGACTTGCTCGCTTTCCTCACTATCGCTCCCTGGTTGTTAAGTTTCTTCCTTGGTTTCGTTGACCTTAGTGTCGTCTGCCATGGTGATTGTCTGTGCTAAATTGACGGTTTAGGTGAGTTATCGGCTGTTGAATTGGGTGAGTTACCGACCGCCGAGTTAGGTGAGTTACCGACCGCCGAGTTAGGTGAGTTACCGACCGCCGAGTTAGGTGAGTCGCCTGTTGCGTGGCGCACGTGGCCAAGCGTTGGTGGGCTTCAGCGTCACTCGTCACTCCCGAGCCTTCCCGAATTCCGAGACTGACACTCTCACTTTGTCCTTTGTTACCCCGACGTCCTTGCGGGTGTAAACAAAGCGAATGTTCTGGAACTTCCCGTTGACTTGCCCGTGCGAACCCCGAATGTTTTTTGGACACGAGGCGTCCCTTAAATTTTCCACAGCACTTTACACACGTTTTCACCCACAATCCGGCTCGAAGGACCACTGTTTGATGAATGTCTAGGGTTAGGGTGGATGTGGGATGAAAATGTGGAGGGAGATGTTGGGAAAATTATGTTAGGCGTTTTATAAAAAATCTCAATATATTTTCGTGGGATCGAACCACTTGTCACTATTGCTTTACACTCTTTGGTATATTTACTGTTGAATGTCTAATTTTCACTGATAATTGTCTTGTCACTTTTATCTCGTTGAGTCACTGAAATTATACTGAACTTAATCAACACGTTGATGTACTGAACAAAGATATTAAATTTAGAATACTGATTGACTGAATACGCTAGCTCATTATCGTAACGATACGTTAGCACTACTGACTACTGACTCTTCCGGGTGCCGCGCTGACCTGTGTCCGTTGACCCGAAAGTTCACGGAGATTTTCGGACATGGCTGAGTTAGTCGACCGTGACTAATATGGAGATTTAGGCTGTATTTCGAATAATACTTTTTTGTAGGTGATAAAATTTCCAACAAAAACTTTCTCTCACATTTTCTTCTCAAACCACTCGTTCTCAAAATAAACCCATATCAACCATGAAAAAAAATTAATAAATGGATGGAAATGAATCCATTGTACCTTTCTTCCTCTCCCCAACTAGTTAAAAATGAGACCTAATTGCCCTAACCACCCAATTTCATCAAAATCATGCCCCAGAATCACGCAAGATTATCCTCGCCAGGACAAGCCTTCCCAGGACCAAAAATCCCTGGAAGCAAGGCGTCGTTCCATCAAGGAGGACCTTAATGCAGTCCTCGAAAAACGAATCTTCATGTGACCAGACAAATTCCCAGACTCCAAAATATCCCCCAGAAAAGCCCTTGAAATTCCTCTCCATCGAGAATATCCAAACCGACTACACCAAGACTGAAATAAGAAAAAGCAGAAGTGTCGATTCGTATCGAGACGACTCCCTAGACCTCGCCCAGTTTCCTCACCCCAAACTTCCCCCAAACGACACAGTGGATCGAAGCTCAACAGACCCAGCACCCCTGAACATCTCAATGATAACCTCCACCCCCATCAGAAGCCGAAGTAAATCACGAAGAACGACGTGTTCGTAATAACAAAATCCCTAGAAGTGGATCAACGTGCATTCTCAACAACAATTTGAATAACTTCAGACTCTCCAGACCCATCAAACAGCCTAGCCTTCAATATCAGCTAGGTGACAGTGGTGACGCTCCCCCCCCCCACACCGCTGTATCAACCCCACCACCAAGGAGAACCTCCTCCACCTCAGAAGTAGTCATTGTCGCCACCTAGACCAACAAAACCCAAGTAAGCGATTCATTATCGACGACGCTGGCTTCACAAGTCTAGACTCCCTGGAATACACACCCCAAGAGCAGCCACTAGTCGTAACAGACAGTCCAAAGTACATTGGAAAGGAGCTAGATGAGTCAGAAGTGGTTATTTTCACTCCAATTGTCGATGAACTTGCTGACACTTGTCATGTATCTGTGGTCACTGTTGGAGATGAGCAGGTGAAGGACTCATAAGTCTTGAATAAAAGGAATGTTAGGTCTCCTTCCCCTGGTGATAGTGGAGACGACACCAAGATGATTGTGAAGGGAGCAACTGTTGAAATAACAGATGAATGGACAACTGAAGAGAGTGGACCAGAAGATTGAGGAGGTCAAGAAGGAGAAGAGAGTGTCACCAGATAGTTATGAAGGGTCCAGATTCCACAGTGACTCTGGTTCCACCAGGTCTCATACTCCTAATAAGAGTATTGACAGGTCTGATGCTGAGTCAATCTCAACGAAAATCAGCCAGGATAGCAGGGGCTCCAACAAGGAGAGCCACGTGGTGAGGGATCCACGACAGACTGCTGCGGTAGATGATGAAGTTGTATTGAGAAAAAAGTCTGATTACATCAGGGAAGTGCTAACAACCAATCGTACGAAGCAGGATATTCAGATAATGAACTTGAAGAAAAAAACGAGGAAGCGAACGAGAAAGTTTCATATTAATGGAGTTGTGGTGACAACGACAACTAGTCCAGTCGATGGGGTTTCAAAAGAGGGGTTTTCTCTGAGTTTGAAATTGAAGAGTCCGATTTCGATGATTTTTTCTTAATGTTTGGTATGGCTCCGGGAAAAAATGCGGTAAAAAAATCACGGGAATTTGTTTATTTAAAAAATACCTCTTGGGTGACCCTGGTTTATTTGGAATATCTCGAAAACTATTGAGAAGTTATCGAGACATGCAGTGTGCGAAAGTTAGCTTAATCTATAAAGAATCGAATGATTTTGGATTTGAGTCTCGATCGTTGATAGTAACAGGCGAAAAAAGGCAAAATTTCTGTGATCCACGTGACTTTTAATTTTTACCCAGAAGAAACCGATACCAAAACCATTCGATTCTTCATAGATTTAGCTAACTTTAGTACACTGCATGTCTCAATAACTTCTCAATAGTTTTCGAGAT